TTCGGCCGTGAGCCAAGGACCTGTTGGCGTTACTCCAACCATCTTTTTTATTTTTTTTAAAGGATTTATTATTATGACCCGGTAGGAGCTGCGGCCACATGTCCAACCTCTGGTTTGCCGAGGATAAAAAAACTGTGCCATGAAAAGGGGATTAAAACCTTTAATCTCTATTTATGTTTGGGATCAGAACAGACTTGACATTGACAAACTGAATGTGATAACAAATAATACAAAAATATTGTCTTCTAAGGCAGCATGATATTGCCAAAAATCACAATTGATCAATGTTGATTTAATAATAATATTGATAAATCTAAATGTACAACTTTAGGAGTTTTGTCCTGAGGACAGAACCCTAAAGACCCAGTCTGTCGCCAGTGCGTTGGTTATGCACACGTTTAAACACAAAGACCAAAATAAACAATAAATAAATACTAAATAATTAAACGGTGCGGCTCTTCTTAACTTTCCAAATGTCATTGGAACGAATTGATCAAATTCTGAAAGAGAAACGAGTCGTTTTGATGAGGCTCTGAACGGCAGAGCAGAAATAAATATTGAATATAAATCACATTCATTTATCATCGTTATCGTGAAAGATTTTAAGCGTGACATTTTTCTAAATTGTTTTATCGCCCGGCCTCACCATATACGTCTCCATTTATTATTAAATATTATGGATAATCATCTGAAGAGAGTTTGGTAAAAAGTACAGTATGCACAGATACACAAAGCGATATACAGTTACATGTATTTGTATCACAATCACTGCTATTATCAGAGGATTTGGGCTTTTCACAGATAGCCTACATCAGTGTTTATTCTTTACGTAGAATTAACCATTTATTCAAGTGGTCATATTTTGTTCACACTGTGCATGTTATTATTTATAATAAGTCATCTTCTGGTGAAGTTCTTAACTCAAGGTCCACTTATTATCTTTTCTCCCCCCAGAGCTTTCAACCACATCCTAAAGAAAACTATTGCGATTGAAATCTCTCCAAAAAAAAAAAAGTTTCCAAAGTCAAGTGTAAAGTTAAACGCTCGATAGATACGCGTTGTATTTTTTAAACTGTAATGCAAAAACAAAACATTACATGCATATATGTCTTTAGTACTCGGGCTCTACGTGTAATCCAGATGTTGCAGCTGAGTCGACGTCGTACCAGCTGACTCCGCACCTGCTCCATGGGAACGAACAGAAGCATCATAAGAGCAGTGACGTCACACCGTGACATCATCAACTCGTTGACATTTCATGGCTTCACATCAACTCAGGGTTTGCAAATTAACACGTTTTACTCCCCCCTGCTGTTTCCAGGTAGTTTATTATATCGGTGTGTGTGTGTGTGTGTGTGTGTGTGTGTACACTTCTGGCTGTGGTGGTTATTTTTAACTTATGTCTGCGAGGACGAGTGCACTTTCTCCTCGGCTGATTGCGTGTATAGTACCTGAGGAAACGTGTGTGTGTGTGTGTGTGTGTGTGTGTGTGTGTGTTCGGTTACTCCCAGTGGGCCACAGGCATGTTGCGCTGGTGGGGGCCGCCGCTCGGTCACTCTGCAAGTCGTACGTCCTTCGCCGCTCCCTTGACGACGCCACAGAAACACTCCGAATCATTAAAGAGTCTTTTTACATAAATAGACCCGACAGCGAGGCTCAATCAAACCCTGAACTCTCCTTTCTAACGGTTTCTGCTGATTCCACTTGAGAATCACTGTGATTCAAAGCGGCTCCCGGACCTCTTTAGGGTTGTGCTTTGTTGTGCTTCTGCGTCGCTGTGATAGAAAATAGATCACAAACTGATTGGAATCCAGGTCGCCCTGGTTACAGCTCAGTCGAGCCGATTAATCATATTGTTGAGTTGCGGTCGCGGTCGCTCCTCGAGAGCAGACGCGTTATCCTCGTCATATTCAGAGAGAAGTCGACCCTGGATGTTCTCATTGTTGCCTTCGACGACCTCCGTTGAGAGAGAGTCGACGTTGATCAGTTGGTCAGATGATGCTGACATAGTTTGTCTATGATATTAAACTTAAAAAAACAAGCAATATGCATTTTATAAGAGGCATTCTTTGCTGTTTCCTGACATTCTTTTGGAACAATCAATCAATCTAACAGATGAACCAATAACCCTCAACTCGCAAATACATCCAAGTGTTCGCAGAGCAAGAAACAGCACAGACAATACACGATGCATGCTCAACATGCATGTTCACTTCTGCGGTTTGGATTTTGCACAAAGCACAACATTAGCTTGGTTTTAATGTTGGAAATGCTGCCATTCGTGATTTGATGACCGCCGTGGCTTCGATCATCGTGCAGCTTTATTCTACGAGCTTGACGTGTAGAAAATGAGTGACAGGGTGGCTGTGGAAAGGACGAGATCGAGGGGAAAGGGAAAGGTGAAAACTATGAAGAATTGATGCAAAGCAGAAGAGGAAAAGCTTTCCAGTCAGAAGGGAAGAGGAGAGACAGAGCGACTGGCTGTATGGGAATATTGAGCCACACAGCATTTATGTCAGATCAACGCTAATCCTTATCTTCGGGGGGAAAGGATTCCGTAATACGCTGGGCTGTCTCGCCCCCTCAAGGGCAGCGCTCTTCTCTCTGCTCCTCTTCCTCTCTCCTCACTTCTCCGTAAAAAACGCCAGGATTTTTCTTTTCCCGCTGCGCCTTTTTCCTCGACTTTGACTCGGTAACGGTGTGGAGAGAAACTAGGTCAGCGGGGAAAGAGCACGAGGGAGGGGGCAGGAGACGCTCGCGATAAACTCTCTGCCTTCTTAGGTCACTTCTTGTCGTCTCACTGCTAACCGGACACAGTGTTTGGTTTACAGTGAGATTGAGTTACACTTTGTTCAATTTGGGAGGATTTGAACTTGATAAATTGAATCTGTCTTCATTACGCTACAAAACATTCAGGTAGCTACTTTCTGAAATGTCAGTCTATATGTTTTAGTTCTTTAAGTTGGTATTCGAATAAAAGTGGAAAGAGGTCATTTCTTTCTCTTTATTTCAGGACATTGAAGTTATTATAACTTATAATAAAACACTTATCAGGGACCCACGTATGGTCACTTTGAGTGGGTCCCCAATACATTTTGTATGCTAAGTACAACCAAACGCTGAATAAGACCATAACAATTAACTTTTATGAACCTAAAACATACTATGAGAGAGTTAAAGTTGTAAGACGAAAACACAGACAACTCCCAGACCGTATATACGTCTCTGGTAGAGACCTGTCAATCACCGTGTAGCCCCGCCCTAAAGCATCTCCTGCTTTATGGTCTGTGTGACTCTAAATGGACCATAATGTACTAAATGAACATCATGCTGTATTGAAGAAGACTTGAAACTAGAGATTGAGACCATAAACTCATGTTTACAATGTTTACTGAGGTAATAAATCAAGAGAGAAGTAGAGACATTTTCTCATAGACGTCTATACAACCAGAGGAGTCGCCCCCTGGTGGACACTAGAGAGAATGCAGCTTTAAGAGACTTCAGTATTGGTTTTACTTTATATGCGGTGTGGGAATGCCTTAGGATCCTCCAGGAAGAGCTGAAGGACACGGAGACAGACGAGGGCATCTTGAGATATTGAAGGATCAATCGATGAAATGCTTTTAAAAGGATTCGGGTCTCGATAAGAAGATTCTGTGTGGGATTTTGATTCGATCAAACGCTATCAAGTCCTCGTCTCGTTACAGTCGTTCAAGGTCAAATTTGATCATCTTCTCTCGTCCAAATGAAGCAAACTGAAAGACTCCAGACGGGATATGCTGCTCCGAGCTTGCCTGGTGTGAGCGCACTCTTATCTGTCACCGCCACTCCGGTGTCCCCACAAGGTGCCGTGACCACTTTAATTGCCTGAGATCGTGTTTTTCGATAAAGGACTGAGACGTACGGTGTTGCAGGGCAATCAGTGGTCACCTGTTTCCCCCCATTTCTATCGCCGCTTTTCTCTCCATCTCTCTCTGCACTCCATCTGTCTCACTCCTCACTCTCGCTGTCGAGCCCCGGAAGGGACACCTTCGGCAGTGAAGGGAACAAATCTAGTCATCTTCAGTTTTCACAAAAGAATAAATACAAGGAAAAGTCGGCGTGGCCCTGTTTTGTATTCATTGGTGTTTTTTTGACTACATTTTGATCACGTGCAAAAGGAAACTATCACAGCATCCGCACGGATTAACACGGTAGACGTGATTATGCAAGAGGAGGAGGAGGAAGGAAATTGTTTTTGGAGTCTGTGGCCTGAAGGAGTCAGTTAAAATAATTAGCCATACTTAATACGGATACAGAGGCGAAGGGTCGCTTGAACCCGACCCTACCGCAGTCAGTTGGCGGCTGATATGCACGATGTGTGCTGAACATGATCATATCATTGCATTGTTCCACCCTTGCACCAACCCTTAGTCAGAGCTGGATCTTAGCTCCCTGCTAATGTTGTTTTGGCATCGTGCAAGTGTCAAAGGACGAACACGTCTACAGGTTTTAGCTCTTTAGATACAAAATCATGCATACTTCTCATTTTTGCTGAACAGATGTTGGGGAGGCTGTCGAGCCCTGATTCATTCGTGCATGTGTGCGACTGTTTGTGTACGTGTGCACGCTTTCAAATGTCAGTGAAACCACATCTTCTACACGGCCCTTTGAGGTTTAGTTGTAATGCATTTTTTGTGTTTTTGTGCGCTTGTTTTTGCTGTCGCTCAGAGTGAGGACAGTTGTTTGTGGAGGAAAGGAGATGTAGCTTTGGTGTCGTGGTGAAAGTTATGATTGTTGTGTCAGAGAAAAAATATAGAGAAGTGTGGAATGCAACTATATTTGGATGGTTTTGGTGTTTTGTTTCTTAGTTGTTTATTCTATGGATCTATAAAATAACACCAAAGTGAATCTCCACAGAACATTTTCGTTGCCCATTTTTGCATAAATAAGTTAGTATGAAGGTAGGTTTAACTGTTGCTGCCCTCATTGTCTCAACAATGCATTCTCTTCTGTTGCAGATGGATGACCATGCTGCCGCCAAAGAGCTGTGACGTCGCCTTGAAGTTGTGGACGTTGGTGGACGGTGTGTTTTCTTAACTTGGAGTTGTGCAACCTTTCTACTAGACCTGTTTGACCTACTTTAACTGCTGTTGTCTGCCAGTTAATACCATAAGAGACCACCTACCCATCTTTAAAAGAAGTAATGGAGACTCTTTGCCAAGACTCCATTCTGGAGTGCCAGATCTGCTTTAACTACTACAGCCCCCGCCGGCGGCCCAAACTCCTGGATTGCCGTCACACGTGCTGCTCGGTGTGTTTGACCCAGATGCGCAGCAGCCAGAAGGAGATTCGTTGTCCCTGGTGCCGCAGCGTCACTAAGCTCCCGCCGGGCCTGTCCGTCTCCCAGCTCCCGGACGACCCGGACATCATCACCGTCATCGCCATCCCTCATGCCTCCGAGCACACGCCGGTCTTCATCCGCCTGCCCAGCAACGGCTGCTACATGCTGCCGCTGCCCCTCTCCAAGGAGCGGGCGCTGGGCCTCCCCGGGGAGCTTGGATGTCGTTTCTTGCCTGGCGGCCAGCAGAAGGGGGTGACCGTGGTGACCATGCCCGAGCATCAGCCTCTGGGCCTGGCCATGAGTCTGGAGGGGATGGGGATGGGGCTGGAGGTAGGCGAGGGAGAGAGGAGAGTTAATGGCCCGGTGGGGGGAGGAGGAGGGAAGGGCTCCACGTGGTCCGGCGTGTGCACGGTGATCCTGGTGGCGTGCGTGCTGCTCTTCCTCCTGGGCATCGTGCTGCACAACATGTCCTGCATCTCCAAACGCTTCACTGTCATCTCCTGCGGCTGAGGGCGGGGGGGAGGCTGCTCGGACTTCCGCGGAACCCCCCCCCCCCCCCCCCCCCCCCCCCCCCTGGAATTCCCCTAAGAGCCCCGCCTCTCCTCAAAGACGGGACTCTGCTGAGGAGAGGGGACGAAACTCACCATGGGCATCCAAGGAAACTACAGAGCAACCTAAGAAGATTGGAGATGAAGAAGAAGAGGGCAGGGAGGCGATCCATGTACAGTCTGCCATTGTGTCCCATTTCCTTTTATTTGGGAGACTGAAATTAAGATGGAAATAAAGATGCAAACCTTCACTTTCCTCTTTCCCGCCCTGAAACTCCCGCCCTTTTCCTGTCCTTCCTTTTTCTCCGAAAGAACGCTTTGGGAATTACTCCAGAAAAGTGCGTTTGCCCAGCTGATATGTTGTTTTTTGCCCAGCTGATATGTTTTGGCTCGGGGCCGACGTGACACTCGCTCACAATCACAGCCGTTGGATTGCCTGTTTTAGTCTGTGGTTGGTAGAAGTACATCAGTTTTCATCGTGTTGTTTCGCTTGGTGTCGGTTCCAAGTGCGGCGTCTCCAGCTGGTGCCGCAGTAACGAAGGGTTTTCGGACTTGGCTGCGCTCTGTCCTCTTGATGCTGCAGGGATTAACTGTGCAGGATCCACGTCTGGCTCCGTCTGAATCATCGGTGGAACTCTGTTCAGAACAAACTGTTGCTCCGTGTAGTTAGTAAAAGGATCATATCACAGGCCTCATCTAAAAACACGGGTAGTGAAAAAATTAACTTGTTTTACAGCTTCTTTCCTGTAAACTCTACATCATTGGGTTTTGGACTAACAGTTGGGCAACACAACTAATTTGAAGACGTCACTTGGGCTCTCAAACCTTGGGATGGTCACTGTGTTCTGAAAATATAAATCCTTGCTAAATGAAAATTTGAAGAAATAACTGATTAACTGGTCGTGAAAGTGATCGCTTTCTGTCCTGTTTTGAATATAGTGGGAAAACTAAGTGCAGCCTTCTAGTAGGGCGCTAGCTGCCAAAGATTTATCAAAGGCTATCTGAAACAAAAGAATCGTTCAAAATACTGTATTTAGCATTTAAGACATCTTAAAAGGAATAGTTTGATATTTTGGGAAATACACTTATTCGCATTCTGTCCGAGAATTAGACAAGAAGATCGGTACCACTCTCAGACGCTCTAGAACCAGGAGGCCGTTAGCTTAGCTTAGCTTAGGTGTATCTTACGTTTTTACAAGATAAAACATGTTACAGTAATTTGTGAGCTTTAGCTGTATTTTGTAAGTATGTTTTTTTTAACTTGGAAGAGAGCCGGGCTAACTATTTCCCCCTGCTCCCAGTCTTTAGGCTAAGCTAATCTAAGCTAATCGCCTCCTAGCGATAGCTCTGTATTGGTACTGATATCCTGGCGAGAAAGCGCAATGTCAAACTATTTCTTTAAATATATAGAATTAAATTGGAGATGGAAGACGACACTCTTGTTCTTTCTGCTTTGTTTCTCTTTGGCGGTATGTTTTCCCACGATCTCTCATCGATTATGGTTCACTGCCCGTCTACTTTTTTAACCCCGACCTGCAGACCTCCATCGTCCTCCATCGTCCCCCCCCCCCCACACACACACACACACACACACCGTCGACACCCTTCATGAGTAATGGGTCATTAACGGGTCAGGAGTGGGCGGATGCTGCAGGGTTCCAGTTAATGACGACCGTATCGATTGATCTGCTTTTGAATATCTCTTGCATCCGCAGAGATGGATGCTTCTCTTCTCTTCTTTTCTTTCTTCACTTTTCTATGTTGAGGCAAGCAAGTCGTCTGTTTACTGTACCGCTGATGCAATGGAGTGTACAGTGCACACAAACAGGGTGAACTCTTTTGTACTCGTCATGTACAGAATGATTGTAATTTTATTTGTCTTATTTTCTAATAACTTTCTTTTGTTGACATGTTTGACCCGGTTAGTATTAAGAAGTGAGATGAGGCTCTCAGAGATGGCATGACACAATATAAAGAAAGAAAGTGATTGGTCATTATTTGGTATTAATAAGTATATAAAGAATTATATACTTAATACCAAACTGCTATGTATAAATACGTTCTGTATATCCACTTGTTTGCTCACAAATAATTCCTAGATTTATTTAATGTATCACTGAAGATTTTTCTATAAAACGACTTTTTATTATTATTTTCAAATCTATTTTTATTTCCCATATCAGCATGAATTTACTTTAAAAAAGAGCAGAACTTGTACTTCATCATTTTTTAGATTTTGCATCTCATATCAGCACGACTTCACCGCCTTCCACCAAACAAACGTCTGAGATTTCTTCGGACATTTAAATCAGACTTTAAATAAAAGAACAAGAAGAAGAGCAGAACATTTGGCAGCTTCAGGCTTCACATTCTGTTGTGAAAGCGTTCGGGGCTACGATAGGACGACTGCTTGATGTGCAGATGCAGTGAGAGTTAAGTTCAGCTGAACCGGTTCACGTGGGACGTATACTTGCCGGTTGCAGCTCCTGCTGTTGCTATGAGACTGTGCTGAACGTCCCCTTTTGAAGTGCTGCGCCGCTTAGCTGCAAGTTGAAATATTTTTAGCTCCGAGCACTCGGGCGCTCTGCGGACTCTAAAAAAAACAAAAAAAACTTGTTAATTTCTCAGCACTTGAAGTTGAAGCGTTTTTTTCTGGCTTCACCCGATATAACTCCCAGTTTAAACAAAGAACAAAGTGCATGAACCGTTCTTCATGAGATCTTGATGAAGACTACGTGACCTCTTTTAATAAGGCGTTCTTTGTACTTGGTTTATACATTCTAAATTATTACTTAATGCTTTATAAATCTGTATTAATCCATTCATAGGATGTGTTTGGCTGGTGAAGCTCTAAATCTTAAAGTGACAGTGGACTACCCCGTCTGTCAGTGTGTTATTACTGATCTATTAAGCAACAATAACTTTCCTAAATTTCCTGAAACGAGTTTTTCATGCTCAAAACACTAAAAATGTACATTAACAATTTACAGTTAATAGCAACATCTGGCTCCAGACAAAATGTCCCCGCTTCCTCTGATAGATTTCAGCTGTTCACTGTGTTTTTATGGAGAAACTGTTTCTAGAAAGAGTTGTTGCTTTTAGGTATCTCAAAACCAGCTAGAACCCACAGAGACAAAGAGCCTCAACATCGGCTGTTCACAAGATGTCTCCATCAACCTGCTTTCACAGCGGTCGACCCTCAAATCACTGGGTCACTGCCACGTCACCAATTTAATTTAAAACGTGAAAGAAAAGTGCAGGGATTTAGGAGTTAAATGTAAGACGGCACGCTGAAATAGCTCGTTAAATTGGAGATTTCTTGCAGGAAAATACAAACACAAGCCAGTATCACTCCAGTCATGATGAATGAGCCTGTCTTCAGTGCTTTCCGTCTGCCAATCCATCATGAACGAGGCTCATGCACGTGATGGTGTTGTTTCACCCTCATAGACTGCTGATATATGAGATTATTGATCTCAAATCAAGGATGTACACGTTTGGCTTTTGGCTTCATTCTTATATTTTCCTTGTTAAATTAAACGATTAAAGAACACAAAGGAAAAGATCTTTCACATAAAGTTCTGCTCTTGTCATATAACTCAACCTTTTCTCATGACATTTTCCTTTTCATTTCTGAGTCTCCTTCCTGTGATTCATCTTTTTTTTGCTCCTCTTCAAATCTGTCAAATCAATTCTTTTTTTTTTTTTTACAGAAACCTAAAGACGACTGAAGAAGCGTAGAGAAGGAAAGGAGGCTTGTCATTTCTGTGCCCGTTGTGTTTGTAAAAAACAATGCCGTGAAGTCCCTGTTGTAGTTTCCTGTTTGTGTCGGGTCGGATTGACGGCTCACGACGCAAACAGACGCTGTTTTTGGTGAACTATTAAAGCAAACGCTCTGAATCTGACCAAGGACTCCATCATTGTTATTCTGGCCTGTTATGGATCTTTTTCAGCTTCAACATAAACGTCCATTTGTAGAGAAATACTTGCTCTCCACTATAAACAACTTCATTTATTGAAGTATATATTTCACGGCCGAGTGAACTCGGTGGAAAGCAGGCTCTCTTTGTTTACCCTCAGGAATCTCTTTTCCCCTCAAATATTTATTGATGTAGTGTCGGGGAGGTAATTAACGCTCTCCGGGGACCAATTGCAGCCGACTTTGCGGAAACGCCTCGATAGCTCACGGGCAGCAGCGGCAGCACACTCATCACGGACCGCACCGCCACAGCCATCTCTATCCACTCTTTAACGACGCCTCCTTTATTTTAATGACCACAGAATAGGGTTTTATTTCAAGTGCATCAATCAGCAAAGTGTGGACTTGAATCATGAGTCCAACATTTATTATTTTCTTTTTCGTGGACGTTCTGCTTATTACTTGATTTCTTGCTCTGATGCTTATAGTGGCTTGATTGGGATCAAAGTTATGTGTATTAATCAAGGACGCACGTGAATATTAATATTTAACTTGTTTTAGGTCTCAAACTTGTCCACACGAATGGACAAAACTATATTTCACCACAACAGCATTTAGTAGCTTTTGACGCTATTACACAATGGAGCGGTGTAAAAGCTCAGATTGAAATGTCATTGATGACCATTTAACACAAGACAGGAAGTCATAGACTGTATATAAGAAGTGGAGGTAGTCACCGTGACGTCATCCATTGGTTTGTGGACTGACGTTTTGAAGCCTCGGCTTTGTCGTTTTGTCCGCCGCCATCTTGGATTACGGCCGCTGCCATCTTGGCTTTTTTTTTGCAACCAATAAACGGAAGGGACCATATTTGGACAGCAGAGGAGTGTTGTAGAGAAGCCGTATATGTCTCTGGTAGCGGCAACGACCCGTCAATCACACTAGCCCCGCCCTAAAGCATCCCCTGCTTTATGGTCTGTTTGACTCTAAATGGACCATAATGTACTAAATGAACATCATGCTGTATTGAAGAAGACTTGAAACTAGAGATTGAGACCATAAACTCATGTTTACAATGTTTACTGAGGTAATAAATCAAGAGAGAAGTAGAGTCATTTTCTCATAGACTTCTATACAACCAGAGGAGTCGCCCCCTGGTGGACACTGGAGAGAATGCAGCTTTAACACACTTCCAGATTGGCTTCACTTTTCATAACTGGAGGTTGTTTCTGTTTTTGCTATTAACTACTGTTTGTCTCTGTTGCTGTCAGTTTTATGGATGTGAATAATTAGATTTTACTTGTGCACAGAGACAGAATATAATGTGGTATTTCAGTGACTCTACATAAACTCTTCCCACGCAACAAAAACACTTTCGAAACCTTCAAATTTCCATATCGTTTTCATTTGCTCTAAATCAGAATTCAGGCAGCCAACAAACTAAAGTGTTATAGATGTAAGTAAACATCTAGTTTTAACAGCTACTCTCTGAGTGCAGCTTTACCCTCCTGATGTAGTGACCCCCCCCCCATCCGATAAGTTGAAAGATTTAAACTGACTGATCATCTGCATGTTTTATTCAAGTCAGGAAGTCAGAAATTCCCACAGCATTAAACGTTTGTCAGAGGAACTGCTTTCTCGTCTCACCTATAATGCGAGCGCTCTGGAGGATGTATCGTCTGTTCATGGCAATAGCTCCGGAGACCGTGGTCTGTTTAAGTCTAGCAGCAGATGAGACTTCTTTTCCTCACGCTGGAATAATGAAAGAAAAAGGTTCCTATTTGTAGGAGGCAGTGTTGGGTGACAGTGTGCAACAGAGTGAATAAAAGCAATATCATATATTTTTTTTCAGCGAACACTCCTACAGTATGTCAGGCAGCCGAAAAAAACTTGAATATTTGAAAGGATTAGAGGACAAAGTTCACGAAGAGGGAGGACTCTGACCTGGAACCTTATTTTATAAGACATGCAGAGGATGAAGCGCAAAATTCTCATTTCGGAGGAGACAGAGAATGGGAAATGTTTAAGGCACTGAAGGTACAGTTGAGAGCCGGTGAAAGTATTATTACTTAAGTACTGCTCTTAAGTACACATTTGAGGTACTACTTTATACTTTTACTCCACTACATTTTGGAGACAAATATTGTGTTTTGTAATCCACTCCTTTTATCTGACATTATTTATATATTTTCTGAGGGGCATGTTTTATCTTCCATAGGTGCATCCAGGATATTTATTCGTATATTTAATCTCTGCTGATCACATCCAACGATATTGAAATCCGCCTCATTGTCCGAATTAAAACCCGTCACATGGAAGCTTATTCAGGGAGAATATTATCCTTGTATGAGCTCTCATTCCTGCTTCCAGGACCCGAGATGATCAAACTAATTGAAATATGACAGCCAACGAAAATGACCCTCACTTAGCCGGAAAATTGAGCGTACAGACGGGGAGGAAAATCAGTTCTGTTCCTTGTGCGATTGTTCCTTTGATGCAGGTTAATTAGTGTGTGTGTGTGTGTGTGTGTGTGTGCGCGCGCACAGTAACTGATGGCTGGTGGTTTTTTTTAGGATGCAAATCACCTCATTAGCATTTTGAGGACATTACTAATCAATCCCACGCTCATGAAATACACACGCTGATCCTTTCCTGGAGGCCAAAACCTTTCTGAGGGTGTTATTTGAGAACGGTTTACATTTCTTAACCTTGTGCCCGAAAAATCGTTTTTAAAACACATTAAAGTGGAGACAAAACAGTTTAGATAGACACTGAATTTAATGTTCTTAATTTGAAAGCAGTCTCTGGAGAATTAAACCTCAAGGTTACTTTATCACGGAGATTTTAACTCCTACCAATAGTTTAGTTAAATGGTAATTTAAATGGCCTGAGCAAAATAAATCAACGCGTTTCCTTCCAAAGTGAATTAAAATGCCGCCCACTAAGAAATGAGGGTAAGAACATGCTCTCATTTTATGACCTGCTTGCTTGCACGATTTCTTAATATTTTAATGATAGAAAATGTGTTTTAATATATTGACCCATGGCACTCAGACTTTTAAGAACTGGATGTGAAGCAGTAACATTTTGGAACAAATCACTTAAATTGCTTTAATTATTCAGTGCGCTACTAATTGGTACTCTGATCCTTGAAAACATGAAGAATAACATGGTAATATGAATTATCGTAGGTTTATTTTACTTCACTTGAACAGAAGATAAACGACAGACAAACCAAGTAATCTCAACAGGGCTGGGAGTGGGGAAAGAGCAAAAAGACCAGCTGACTATCAGGAGCTTATAAAGTCAGACCAGCTGAGCTGAATTCTGCCCGACGACACATCAACTCCTCCAGGTTCCTGCAGGATGAAGAGTCCTGCTCACAGTCCAGGTGCAATGTGTAAGATGACCTCATGCTCCGAACAAACAGGGGCAGCATTCCACCTCCTCAATTTCCATTTCCTAGCCAGGTGATCTAAAGTATTTATGATGTTTTGATGCATTAAACTAAAAAACAACAACCTGGTTTCCCAGTAACGGGGTCAAGAACTAAATTCTCTGTGCACTTCTGCATGAATATATAAAAGCGCCCGTCATGCGTTTGAGATAAACCCCGATATGCATCTGGTGTTACTTCGGCTCAGGAAACGACACTCATCACGTCGCTCCTGCTTCTAAATTTCCTGCACGTCCGCCCGTGTTGGAGGCACGCGGCACTTTCCAATCAACAGCGGACCTTTTCTCCGCTCAGACTTGTTCTCACTGTGGCCTTTGCCGTGAGCAGGGCAGATGGCCAAAACAAATCCGGAACCGCTTCCAATGTTTTTTCAGCGCGTCCGACTTCCCACTCCACGGACCCACAGCAAAACAAAAAAACAAGTGTGAGAAGTTTATTGTTTTCCGATGCTGCTAACTGCACAATAGAATTCATGAGCGCGCACGAAGGTTCGAGAGGGAACCGAGAGCTCCTCGGGGGGGGGGGGGGGGG